CATAAAAAACAATGGCGCCAAGACAAAGCACTGATAAATGATCGACATTCAACGGAAAAAAAAAACACATTGCCACTTCTGGCGATCGAAGGGAAACACGGAATTAGTCGGGATATCTCAACAACAAACAGCTCACCAAACCCCATGTTTCGCAAACTTTCGCAACTTTATTTTTTCGAGGGTTGAAAAAAACAAGAAGTAATCTAAAAACGACATTAAAAATTATGAAAACTCGCTAAAACTCCGACCCGTTGCATGATTTCCGGTACACTGAAGGTCACCCTGCAGACCGACTTGTTTGCGCATGCGTAGTGAACGAAATATTTTACTGCGCAGATATGAAATTTATTTTTCAAGTTTTCCGTTTCCAGCAAAGCGGTTGAAACGGGCGTATCGGCGGCAACTAACATGGAGTATGACTAATGTCGTGGAAACAAAAGCGAAAGCACTGTAAGATAAACTAAGACAAAGGTTTTTTTAATCCTCTTAGTTTCGTTGTTCTTCCTTAAGTCATTTACTATTTAGAATTTGAGTTAAGCCATAATTTGCCGACTACAAAAAAAAGTTATATATTATTTTACGTGCAAAATACTTGAAATTTATTGAACATCTAAAGCTGTAATTTTCACGACGTTGATTTTCGACATAAAACACACATTAAACATAATGTCAAACATAGATTCGACAAGACAACATCACATTTCTCAGCAACATCTCAAACATCCAATCATCCCTAGTACGATGTTTAGGTTACAACCAGACTTTGCTGAATACATACATGAGTTAATTATTTACTTGCCATGACTTTTACACGTCTGACGTAAACTCGGAAATGATTTTTACTGACATTTGTTACGAATCGTCACGGTAAAACTTCCCATGAAACTATTTTTTTGAAACAAAATATTAACGAACCTATGACATATACATTCTTCGCCTGAAAGTCCGCCAATGGGTGCTTATGAATCTGTGTTGCTACTTTTTGCGAACTTTCAAATTCGTGATTTAATAACAACAACATCGGTGAAATTTCCAAGCAATTTCGCTAGCTTTCCGTTCACAACTTCGCGTTTCTGAAAGTTCATTCTTATCACACCAAAGGTGCACATAAACAACCATGTGTCATTTAAATGGAATCTTATAATATAATATAACTCAATAACCTAGTTGTGAAGGGAAGATAATACACGTGTACATATACTATGTGTAATAATATGATATGATACGAACTTGAAAAAAATAATAAAGATACACAAACTGAATCCCATCAAAACCAATTTATTTCAGCTTCAAAAATCGAATATTTCGTAAACTCTACCAATGATGTGCTTCTACTGTAGCATTATACACTGCCATATCTATGTGCAGCCACGTCTCTAGGAGCCTGGTGCAGGGCCGCAACTGTAATTAACATGAACAATGATAGTAAGTAATTTGCATTTATCCTTGATTAATATGGAGTTTTAGAATTTAAGGTTCGTAATGACTGCGTATGTAAAGTTGTACTCGCTTACAGTGATATAATATGAAATGTAACAATATCAGAACACATTCAGACACGTAAATTTATAGTGACTATGAACGCCGTCAATTCAAAACATTCACCAGGTATTTTTGAAAGAAATAATCCTTCACTCAGGAAAGCATACATTGGAACATCATTGTTGCTAGCAACGATTTCTCAACTAAAAACATTCTTAAATTACATCTGTGGTTAAAAGCGTCATTGCACGGTGCTGGCATTGTTGTTACCCTCAAACGGTTGTGCTTTAATAAATATTTGTCGCCATCAGATAACTGAGTCACTGTCTAATTTTAGAAAATCAGCAGTTTACAGAACTCAAATTAGCTTATTTATTTAATGATACGGCTAACAGGGAACTGCGCTTCGTGAAATTAATATATATAGTTCATCTACAAATAAATTAAAGCACTTTTTGACACGTGCTGCAATGTTCTGCTGGTATTAAGCTGTCGATGCTAACCAATTACTAAAATATTGTGGCTTGTGTACAGTAGAAGCATGATCTGTATTGACCTGCATGAGATCGCGTTCTCACCAACCAACGTGACGATTTTAAACATGGAGTATACAAATGAATATGTGATTTTCTATGTAGATGGTTTTCCTTGCATTGTGATCTGCATTTTAACACCTCCCTACACCCTCTCTCAGTCATGTTTACTTTTATACGACTAATTCAATGATACAGATCATTACCCGCTTTCAGGATCCTTATAATCCGTTGCCCATTCTTCAACTGTCTTGCCTCCTGGCAAGTCGTCGTACTTATTCGCATTGTAATTTCCACACAGCCCACATACGTTATTCGGTGCGATGTCTCTAATGAATGGATCTAATTCTATATCTAATCGATGTTCTTTACAGTCAAAAACGGCTGTGTATCGGAGTCTGACTTTTAATGTGATCACGTGATCAACCCAGGTCAGCTCTCCCAAATTCCCGCCAGGACCAAATTTCACTGGATAATCTTCGGGCAAAAATTTCTCAGTCACACCATTTTTCTGAGATTACACAGAATACAAATTAGGTGACTTGTAAATGTGCGATTGTATACAGTATAAAACGAATACGCAATACATGCAAAATGCAGCTATCATTAATGAAGATACTGAACACTCTACTGCCGCGCTAATTGTGCATTAGTAACTAACCGTGATTTCAGCCTCACAGCTGCTAAATACTTCGACGAAATTTGTGGCTGGTCCTCTACGGCGCATGCGTATACTACTAATACGAGTGTGCTTTCCTCCGTTCCCAATACCAACTTGCTGTCTGTGGTTCTTTGTGTCAATCGTAACAAGCGGCCCATTATTTTTGGGGCCACACCAGGATAACGCGTGATAAGAGCAGAAACCCATGAAATTGTAGCGATATCCGTCAAAAGTTCTAAAATGGGGGTCACCCCATATGCTGCAGACTGTAACATTGGATGGATATTAAATATACATTAATAGTATTTTTTTCAAGTTATACAGAATCATCGATAAATTTATATATTTAATACCGACTTTTTATTGTATTCGATCATTAGATGTATTTCCATAACATGAATAATTTAAACTGAAATTTAGCTGCAATGTCATTATATATAGTTGTTAATTTGTTATTTGACAAAAATCATATCATTGGACAAAACGCGAACAATGCCCTTGTGTCTGCTAAATTTATTTATGTTTAATTTTGGTTCGGTCGATTCAAATTTGCAACGAACCATATGGGGTGTAAGAAATGTTAAATGCGCCGATATATATTTGGTATTAGTAAATAAACGGCATGTTACTTACCATTTCCATCGTGAACGTTACGTTTTTCTGACGTCTGAATTACAACATACATTGCAACATGTAAAAAAAAAGACAACAAGTTAAAGCAATTTCTGTATAACCACTGTAAACTCTGGTTAAGGTGTAAGTAACACACATAACAGATGAATAAATTGGAATGAAATTGACAATACTATATGAAAATATGTTATATGTTAAATAAATTATGTTACAATTAAATTTATGTTTATGCATATGAAAACTATTGATTATGTCGTTAAGTCTTATGTTATAATTAATGTTAAATATCTCAAATAACAATTGCCACTTTTCATTTCTAAAGACGTATGTTCGTGGTCAGTAGCTACCCTGAAATAAATGTTTTGTTTTTTACGGGTGAGCAAGATACCGATAGTTTCATGCATTCCCCAAAATGCTTTTCGTTTTAAATTCGTTTCTATTTCTCCAAAAATTACTATGGCAACGCACAGGGTTGGTTTTTACACTGAATCAACGTAACTGGTGGTCGATATACTGTTGATATACGTGAAGATCGCGTATAGCAC